CGAGTGAAAAAATATGAGCTTGCTCTGATATCCTTTCCGATGCGTTGAGTGGAAGGTCGCATCAGTCACATAGCCTGATGTAAACACGCGGGAGGTTGGGAGAACACGAGATAAGCGTAGGAAACCACGACGCGAAGCGGAGTGGTTTCCAGCTTATGTTTACATCATAATCATCCGTGTTTACATCAGGCTATGTAAACACGGAAACCATTTTACATTTCTTTTATAAAATAACTAATGAAAGAGGAACGAAAACCGTGTTTACATACGCTCATGTAAAATGGTTTCATGGCCAATCAGAGCGCGCGTACTATTTGAATTATTTTATAAACGCTCATGTAAAATGGTTTTATGGCCAATCAGAGCGCTTGTACTATTTGAATTATTTTATAATAGGAATATGAAGCACGCTCGCGCAATTGAATTTGATTAGACAAATTTACTAGCTATGTTATAATTGGCAGATGGCGTGACAGCTTTAGCTCAGCTCTATGCTCTATACTCTCACAGAGCACGTTCTTTCAACCAATGACAGTGCGCGTCATATCCGAACTTTATTATAATTCGACATAGAAAAAGTATGTCAGACAAAAATATTCACCAAAAATTTTTCTCTTCAAATATTCTGCTGAAGAAGTAGTGCTGGGGAGTCGTAACGCTTTTCGCCTTTAACAAATCCTCTCTTTGCTCCTGATGGATGACACGTTGTGTTGTGAATGTGTCCTGGAATGTCTCTGTTGGTGGGCGGGCTCTTATGTCGAGAACTGACTCCCTGTTGAATCTTTCACCCTTATAGATAGAAGTTTCTAAGAGAGTAGCTTCTGAAACAGATATTTCAACAATAAATTTGATTGTTGGGTGGTGTTCATTTGCGTACTAAAACATGGAACGACCTAAAACCACCTAAAACCACCTACAACCACCTACAACCACCTAAAAACATCTACAGCCACTGCAAACTACCTAAAACCATTTAAAACAAGGCATAAATGTCTTAAATAAGGCGAAACGACAACATGTCACGTACATGAAATACGAGAATCGAACGAGACCTCCACCTCCCCCTGAAATCTTACTCTGGTTCCTGGTCCCATGCATAGTCAACCATCTCACGAAATGAAATGCGAGAGCATGCCAATTATATTTTTTACTACC